AATGTGTTAAGAAGTAAGTATAAGTGTGGAAAAGAAAAAGAAAGTCATGTTTCAAATGATAGGGACACTTTCCTGAACATGAAGTGAGCATAAACGTGGCAAATGATCCAAATCTAAGAGAACAGGCTATTCTAATGATTCAAATTCAAATGCATCAAGATTTCTAATTATGTGGAACAGGCTGGAATAGTGAGTCCAAACCAGTGAGATGAAACTAAACAGATAAAGACTGGTTTTAGTTTTTTTAGTCTATTTCGCAAGTACAGGATGGAAGAGACCATACTTGGTGAAAACTCATGTGAAAAAGATCTGCAGGTTCTTATCACCGACAAACTCAATGTGAGTCAACAGTGTGAATCTTTTTTTAATAAAGAAGGTGCAAAGTGCAAGCTTGGGCCACTTAGGTAGAAAGCTCGAGTCAAAGGAGGTGGTATCCTGGTGGACTCTGCCCCAGTCATATATCCAGTTCTGGGTGCCACGGTTTCGGGACATTAAACTAAAGAGCTTCCAGGAAAGGAAGACCAGAATGGAGGGGAACTGGAAAATCTCCCCACGGGGATATACTCAGGCTGGAGAACAGAAGTCTTAGTGGGGTAGTCATCTTCAAATACCGATAGGGTGAACACAGGGAAGAGGGAAGACAGCATTCTGTGGAGCTCCAGAGAGAAAATAGAAAGATTAGCTTGCAGTTACAAGGAGCCAGGATTCAGTTGAGTAGGAAGGAAGAGTTTCTAACAAGAAGACCTTAAAGAGTAGTAATTCATAGTGACTTGTTCTGAGTCACCATAAGTGTTTAAAGAGAAGCTGAATGAGCATTTGCCTAGAAAATGTAGAATGAGTTTCAGCATGGGAAGAAAAGTTAGATAAGATGAACTCTAAGCCCTCTATCAACTTGGATCCCACAGCTTTCTGAAATTGCTTGTGCCTCAGTAGTTGTTAGAGGAGGGAATTTACAGTGAATAAAGATACAAAAAGCAGCAATATCATAAAAGGAAAAGGACCACAAGATGAGGAATGCAGGCAGCTTATATAAGCTAGAAAAGCCAAGGAAATGCATTCTGCCTTAGAGCCTCCAGAAGAAATGCAGCCCTGCTGACAGCTTGACTATAGGGCTTCTCACCTCCAGAACTGTAAGATGATAAATTTGTGTTGTTTTAAGCCACCAAGTTTGGAGTAATCTGTCAAAGCAACAACAGAAAATTATTGCCACTCTTATATGAAAGACTAGCAGGTTTTAGGGAAGAAGAGGTGGATCCCTGAGCATTTTGCCCCGAAGTTAGGATTTATAAGATTTTGATGGAAAATGTAGTTTGTCATTTTTGTTTTTTGGTAGGTTTGTTCGCTTCCTTTGCCTTAAAAGTCCCAGAATAAGAGCACATGCCAGTTTTCAATGGTCTCAAGACTTTGGTTTCTCATCTAGCCCTTTAGACACCTGCAAGTCTGGGCAATGATGATGAGACAGTTTGAGGCCCTGGCTCCATTTTATATGCCCTCTCCATCCTCCCCTCCCTTCCACCACTCAAGTTCCAAGAAGCCTACCTAGAACCATCTTCATCTGATAACTTCTTTCCAACTCAGCAGTTGCTCAAGCACTTGCACCTTCAATTTGCAGTATGGGTAGGGTATTTTTCATACTTGCTAACACCTTGTTTTGTCATTGATATATTTAGCCATTGACTCATTTAACTAATAAGCTTTGCTCCTCTCCATCCGTGTTAGCTGTCCCCCCAGGGCCTTTCCACTAGCTGTTTACTCTGCCTGGAACATTCTTCCCTCAGATATCCAGATGGCTAAGTCTCTCACTTCCTCCAAGTCTTTGCTTACCTGTCACTTTTTTTTTTTTTTGCAGGGAAAGATTCAGCCTGAGCTAACATCTGTTGCCAATCTTCCTCTTTTTTTTTCCTCCCCAAAGCCCCAGTGCATGGTTGCATATCCTAGTTGTAAGTCCTTCTAGTTCTTTTACGTGAGCTGCTGCCACAGCTTGGCTACTGACAGACAGGTGATGTGGTTCCACGACTGGGAAACGAACCTGGACATGCCAGACTTTAACCACTAGGCCATCAGGGCTGGCTCACCTGTAACTTTCTTAATAAGCCCTACCCAGACTACCCTATTTGACACTGAAACACACACACACTTTCAAATTCTCTTTTCCTGCTCATTTTTTCATAGCACTTATCTCCTCCTAACATAAAATAGAACTTATTTATTACTCTGTTTATTGTTTAGAGGCTGTCTTTCCCCTTAAAATGCTAATGACACAAGGTGCAGGGATTCATGTTTGTTACGTTCACTGATATCTCCTAAGTACCAAGAACAGTGCCTGGTACATACTAGATACTCAGTAACTGTTGTTGAATGAATGAATTTATTCTCTTCTCTGTGCTAATGCTAGAGCAGATCCCGGGGGAGGGCTACAAAAGAATAAGACATTGTGCGACTTCGAATCAGCCTGTCTAATATTGCACCCAGGTTTGATTTCATTTTGACTGGCCGAGCTGTAAGCACTTGGGGGCACATACACTCTTACTTCCCTCTAGTCCCCTGGTGCTCCCTTCCTTTCTCCCCCTCCTCCTCAATCCTAATTGCTGTTCTAGTGGCTGCCCGTTCTCTCCACGTTTCTCTCCTCCATTCAGCGGAAAAGGATGAGTGGGAGTGGAGTTAGAGTACTCCTCTTACTGGTCTAGGTACTTATGGATATATGGGATGTTGAAGCGCTTTGGATAAAACACAAAAGATGCTTAGAACAATAGTTTTGGGGGTTTTTCAAACATAAATTTGTAGGCAAATCTCAACTCCCAAACTTTAAAGAAAAAAATTGAGGTGTGCTTTACCTTAAACAAAAAAAGAATTCAAAAACTTATGAGGGGGAGCAAAACATGCCACCCCAAAATGTGCCACTTTGGCATGTGGATTGTCTTGAGCTGAAGGAAATTAAAACTGAGCAGACTCAGGAAAAGCTTTTTACCTCTCCCTTAACTGCCAGAATTTGGATAGGGCTCCTGTACCAGGAAGAGAGCTATTACCAGAGACAGAAATTCTTATCTGCGTGGCATGGCAGACAGTTGTTTACCAAACATTTGCTCTTCTCATCTTCCTGTGAATTGTCCTCCTCCCCTTTGAAGCCCCAGACCCCTCCCCCTTCTCCTTAGCTCAGGGTGGTACACAAGCCTCAACTGCCCCATTGCCACGGAGTCTTCCTGTCTTTGTGGGGCTCTTGTACATATGTAATTAAATTTGTTTTTCTCTTGTTAATCTGTTTTATGTTGATTTAATAAGACCAGGCAAAGAACCCAGAAGGGAAGAAAGGCAAAGTTTTCCACTTCTTCACTTATAAAAATAAATTGGGTCTGGGAGTGGCTATCTGCATGTCAAAGGATGCCCCACTTCACAGAAAGAATTTACCACAGGGTTATTTTAAATAGTTTGCTCAGTTGAAAATACTGAACCTGAATGTCCTCAAATGGAGGATTAAGTGATGCATGTTACATTCATGCAGTGGACTATTAAACGGTCATTAAAAGTGATGTTCTTAATATAATGGAAAAATGCTAACATTGTAGTGAGGGAAAAGAAGTTAGAAACAAAATTGTATAATTAAAATGGTTTTTAAAAATCCATAATAAAAAGACTGGAGTTTCGAAAAGATACCAAATTATTAGCAGGGATTGTTTCCTAATGTTGAGATCGTAAATAATTTCCTTTTTGTATCTTGAATTGTCTGATTGTTCACATTTTCTATAATGAGTGTGTATTGTTTTTATTATAAAGATTAAAATAAACTTTTAAAAACAAAAATCAAGGTTTGAGTCCTAAAAATTCAATTTGCAAAAAACTTTTCAGAATTGTCACTATTGGGGTGTATCTGGGGGGAGGGAGAGAAAATCCCAGGACAACTGTTTAGGTCTTTATCTAGCTCTCCCATTTGCTTAAGAATGGGTCTATAATAATCCAGAACTGAGGTAGAAGAGTGAAAAAAACCCTCATGATCCTTTTAAGAAAATGTGTGGCAGTCGCTTCTGTAGGGAATAATGGGGGGGGGGGGGGGGCCGTGAGCCGAGGAGTCGAAAGAAAGATTTCTTGGACTCTCAAGATCTGGCAGTAGAGCTCTTTTATTTAGAGAATAGTACAGAATAGCATGGGGACAGGACCCATGGGCAGTCAGAGCTGCTGCGTGGGGACAGGACCCACAGGCAAGAGGAGCTGCTGCTGCCAACATGGGTGGAGAATAAGGCTAAATTTAAGGCATAGGTATGTGAGTTATCTCTTTACAAGACAAAGGAAAGAATATGTAAAAAGAGTTGTTAAAATGGTATCAGGGCCGGTAGGTTCTGGTTATTGCGTGGTCCTACAACTTTTAGATAAGAATCAAACCGGATTAAGCAAATGGCAGAAGTCGCTGCTTAAATATTACCTTCAGCTAAAGACAAAGGGGGGGGGGGGGGGGGGGGGGGTCAGTTACATGAGGTTGCCAGACAGTAACCAACTTAAGTTCTTGCCTTCCCCATTAAGAGTTTCCAGAGATAAGGCCATTCCACCTTCCTCCTGGCGCAGAGAGGGTGGCATCTTTACAGATGGAGATTTCCCTTACAAATATAAATGTTTCCCAACAAAGGGCAAGCAAGCTCTGAGGGCAAGCTCCTCAGAGTTGCTTTTATTAAAGGTAACCAGCCCCCTTCTCATCTGTAGTTCTAAAAGTAACCAGCCTAAAACAATCCTCATCAGGGAATAAGGAAGGAGACTGTGCCAAGTGATTATTTAAAACCTTATCTTATCATTTCTTGGGCTTGAAATGAATTGGTTAAATGAATTTAACAGGTGACATTTGTTCTTTTTATCGAATGGGAGAGTTCCACTTAAATGTTCAAAACCGGTAGGTAGGACTGTACCAGAAAAGGTGAAGGCGGTGATGACAAACCAATAAATTAAAGGAGGCTGTTTGGAGAAATCGCTGAGTCAAGAGTCGGGCAATCACGTGAAGTTTTTCATAAAAACGAAACTCAACCAGAAGTGGGTAGCTTTCCCTCCCCGCTCCACCCACTCTTGGTATTGCTGCAGGCGCTGGAAGCGTCGGTTTAATCTATCCTTTGGCTCCTCCACTGGGCGGACCCCTGGCAGGCCAGAGCGAAAAGGGTAGCGGAAGGAGGGGGCCCTGGGCCGGGCTGGCGCGCCTTGACTTGTGGGTTAGCGTTCCGGGAACAGTAACACATGGATCTGGGTGAAACATTGGCTTTCTGTGTTTCCTGCGTTTGGTACCTTTGGAGGGCCGGCTGCAGCTGCGGGAGGCCGCGCTCGCTGCCAGCGGTCAAGGCGACCTTGCTCGGAAAACGACTGTTGTACTTTGAGCTAGTGACTCCAGAGGCTTTGCCGCTTTCTAGGCATTCCTCCAGGAGCTTTCTCCCCCTGGAGGCCTAGCCTGTAAACGCAGTTTGTTTTTGCAGTGTGATGCTGCCTTATTCTTGTCTTTGGCGCCAAGAGTGGCATGCAATCCCTACCAGTTAATTATGGCCTCTCGGAGGAAAAAACAATAAAGTGCTGTCCTTTATGTCTACAGTTGGTGCTTCTGAGGTCAGTGGCAGTAGTTGCTTTGAGGTCTTTCTTCAGCACACTTACTCACCTGTTTCCTTTATGACTGCAAGAACCTATACCAAAGCCTAGTGCCTCTCCTGGTGAGTTGGCTATAGGTGACTTTGACATACAGAGAAACGACGTTGTTTCGTGCACTAACATGTCAAAACTCATCACATTGTACACTTTAAATATGCATAGTTTATTGAACAGCAATTGTACCTCAAGCTGTTTAAAAAACACATTCAAAGGATTGAGTAATAAATGGTAATCAAGATTAATGGATAAAATACAAAAATGTATTTCTTTTATCTTCATCACCGAGTCGTGAAGAAAAGATCATATCTCTTGACCTTTTTTTTTTTTTGAGGAAGATTAGCCCTGAGCTAACTACTGCCAGTCTTCCTCTTTTTGCTGAGGAAGCCTAGCCCTGAGCTAACATCGTGCCCATCTTCCTCTACTTTCTATGTAGGATGCCTACCACAGCATGGTGTGCCAGGCGGTGCCATGTCCGTACCTGGGATCCGAACGGGCGCACCCCGGGCCGCCGAGAAGTGGAACGTGCTAACTTAACCGCTACGCCACCAGCCCAGCCCCATCTCTGATGACCTTTTTTGGTGAGTTAACTTACTTATTTTAAAGCCTTAGATTTCTGTAAATATAGGCACGTGGTTTTACTTGCAAAGTTTTCCCTAAATGAGGATATTTCATTAATATTTGATTTACTGTTGTTGTGACACATAAGAAAACACAAAGCCATCATGCCTCAAAAGAAAAGAAAAGAAAAGAAAAGATCATAACCCAGTAGGAGGTGATAGAGCAGCAGGGTTAGGAACCCTGCTAAGGAGTCGGGCTGCCTAGGTCTGAACTCACACTCTGCCGCCCGCTAGCTGTGTGAGCAGGAGTCCCTTGTTTTCTCTGAGGCTCTGCTTTCTCACAGAGTCCTGAGTGAATCAGGGTCAGCAGAGGAGGAGCAGAGAGGGATCATTGGGCTGGAGCCTCAACTCTAAGTGGGCCTCAAATCTGGGCTGCTGCCTGGTAGTAAATTCGTGGGGAATTGCTGAGAGAATGGTGATCACAAAAGTTGATCCTAAGTGAAATGTATGGAACCCTGGTACTAGAGGGGGGAGGTTGGTGAGAGCTTCCCAGGCCTTGAGGACCTTTAAGGAATAAATGAGAGAATAATGAATGTGAAGGCTCAGAAAAGTACCTGATACATAATAAGTACTGCACTCAATCAATGGTACTTATTTTTACTTTATTATTATTGGTGGTGGAACCACTTACCCCATAGTATCGTTGTGAACAGAGCTTGTGTGAAATAAAGCAAGTTCCTAGCAGAGAGCCTGAGACGTAAGAGGTACTCAGTGGGTATTAGTTCTTTTCCCTCTTCTCTCTCCTTACTTTGAAACGGCCACCTCAAATTCAGCCCACTCCGTGGAGCTCTCCCTGCTTCCTGTCCCCCACCTCAGCATATGCGGCCTTTCCTGTGGCTCTGGGGCAGGATACAGGGAAGCACAGTGTGGGAGACCTGGATTGGGTCACCTGGCACCGGGCTGCATGGAAGCATCTAATTTGCACTGAAGTGTTGCCCTGGACTTTGTGTACTTCAGTCGTAGTTGCTGTAAGGGCGAGAAGTGGGGTGTCATGGCTTGGGTTTTCCAGAAGCAGATGCTGAGGTGGAATTTGGAGTACAAGATGTTTAAAGATCAGTATCCGTGAAAGGAAGGGGTGGGAGGCAGGATTGGGCAGAGGGAAAAGTCGAACAATGATGCCAGCCTAACAAAGACTGGACTAACCCCACAGGGAGGTCTGGAGAGAGGATTGCCCATCAGAGTATCCCACAATGAACTGACAAGACCAGGCCTTTATACCTCTCTCTCTCACTCGCAGGATGAGGGCTACCCTGGGAAAAGCATGACCTCATGACCTGAAGTGGAGGCCAACCCGGAAGTGGCAGACACTTGGCATCTGAACACACTCTCCACAGCTGGGCAGCAGGTCCGTCCTTCCTTAAACAGAGATCAGAATGGTGTATTCTCCATGTCCACCACACTGAGCGGTAAACCAACAATGTAATAATACAGACCAGACTGTTGACTGTTCAGAACAGAGAATTCCAATCGTATCTCAACACATTAAAGAAGAGGGTTGGCAGCCAACTCTTGATAGACGATAGTAGGAAAAGTGATTTGAAATGTCTATGAACTAGATAGTTGTACATGTGCAGTCAGAGCAGCTACCACTGAGACAAGTTTGCTCTGCCCAGGAAAGAAGATCAGGCTCTTGCCAAATGGCTCGTGTGTGATTGGTAGGGTTTTATATAGCATGGGAGCAGGGAGAAGTTAAGATGAGAGGCAAGGGCTAAAGGTAGAGCAAATCTTAGCCCAGGGCTGTCCCATAAATCTACACGGCCTCGCAACAATGTTCCTCATCACTCAGGATACTTGTTAAATTCCCAGACCCAGCTCCCTACAATAGTCTACTCAATCAGAATCTCTGGGGTTAGGAATCAGCATGTTTAATAGGCATCCCCACTACTTTCTTTGCAAGTTACAGATTGAGAACCCTGCAAAAGATAGACCAGCACCATGGATTACACTCCACAAGGCTGCACATAGTACCCTCACTGTTACAGACTCTGTAAACAGAGATGATCCAGCCAGCACCCTCAGCCACCAGACTCTAATGGCAGAGATGGCAAACCCAGAGAGAAAAGAATGTATCAGTCAGTTACCATCATATAGAGTGAATCATCCATCAGTGTTGAGATGTGGTAAAGACAGAGCAATCTGAATGGGATCCTGAGTTACAGAAATAACTAGTGTGACCCTCTCTGGTCAGTGTCCTGAATTCCCTGGCTCCAAGGCAGGAGTCCTTAACCCAGGGTCCGTAGATAAAGTTCAGAGGGGCTCATGAACTGAGATGAAAAATCAGCATCTTTATCAGAACCAGCTTTTTACTGAAACTTAAGATTTCCTTAAATCGTGGATATAGACAACAAACCACAGTAGGATTAGCAATATCTATGGCATGGTCACCAATAGAAACCATGGATATATTTTATACCACATTACTATTGTTGCAGGTATCTTGAAATATGGTATATGCTCATCAGTACTTCAACACTGTTACTTTTTAGATCTCTAGATCTTGATATTTAATTTGTTAATAGAGAAGTGCATGTATTATTATATCACACATTTCTTATTAAATATTTTGATAATTCTATTTTGATATAATCAGCTTCCTTTGTAATCTTATATATATATATATATATTATTTTATGCATTTAAAACATTATTCTATGTCAGGGTCCCTAGGCTTCATTAAATTCTTAAAGAGGTGCATGGTGCAAAAAAAGTTAAGAACTCCTGTAGTAAAGTCTATTTTGCTAGTGGTCACCTTCATGACGTCATTTTTATCCCAGTCACCCCCCAAATTATATAACACACTACTCCCAACATTTCTCCCAGTTATTTCCTAGACACGACACATTAGAAAGAAGGAGACAGAAAATTATGCTTCCATATCTTTAAGTTGGGTCATGCAGTTATTTCATTCATTCATTCATTCAGTTAATCAATTCAACAAATATTTATTGAGCACCTATTATGAGCCAGGCACTATGGGGATACAGTGATGAATAAGACAGATACTGTCTTTATCCTCAAGGAGTTTCATTCTAGGAGAGACTAGTGAGAAGCAAGTAAATAGGCAAATCAAATAATTTCAAGTTTTATTGCTTTATGAAAAAACAAACAGGGCATAGAGATAATAATAACCAACATTTATTGAGTGGAATGTTTAATATGTGCCAAATTTAATTTAATATGTGCCAAATGTTTAATATGTTCCAAATATAAATAGTATATAGGAAAAAAATGCCCAAAGTGCCTCTGAAGAGACATTGGACAAGACTTTTCTTGCCCAAACAACTGTCCTCAAATAATGGCCACCACCACCTACGTTAAGCAGAATCAACCCATATGGAAGGGCTTAAACCGTTTGCCAGAAAAACAAGGACTCACGCCCTCATTTTCTTTCACAAACCTGTCTGAACTCACGAATTAGGCACCTTTGTCTTTTTGGATGTCTGAGTTGGAGTTTAGGAAGCACACTCTACCTCACAACCATCTGAGCACTCCCCCAAGGCCCCTTCAGAGCGTCAATAAGCATTTCCTGATCAGAATGAGGCTCTGTGGTTTTCATCTAGTTTCCTGCCTTCAGATCTTTCTGGTCATATGACATTAAAACCTACCACAGCCGCTGGGGGCAAAGGCTTGCGTCACATACTGGCTGCTCTGCCACTTACTAGCTGTGAGACTTGAGGAAGTCACCAAACCTCTCCGTGTCCTAGTTTCCTCATCTACAGAAGGGATAACACCCCTCATAGGTTTGCTACGGAGATTGAACAGAAAGCCCCGTGGAAAGGCACAGCATGCAGAAAACACTGAATACTGTTCAGCGGCTTTGTTGTATTATTCTTGTTGCTGTTGTTGGTGCTGTCATGACAAGGCCTAGGAACAGTATAGAAACATGGTACACACATAGGTTAGAATGCTGGATAATCATATAGACAACTTGTGTCTTAGCCACATTAAATGAGGACTGAGCTATTGGCTCTGGGAGACAAAAGAGGAAATGCTACCAACTACGTCTTGTGTTCAAATACATTCAATAACATAATTTACATCTGAATCCTCTTTGTTTTTACAAAGTACTTCAACATTTTATCTCATTAATCCTTATTACACCTGGGAGGTTATGTTTTTACTATTTCCATTTTGTATTGAGGAGCAGAAAGGTCAGGTGGCTTGGTCAAGTTCACACAGCCAGGAGACTCCAACCCACACCTTGGCTCTTTTTCCCACTAGATCAGTTGTGTCAATTATGGTAATAAATGAACTCTGAATTAGCCTTTAATCCTAGAGTGTTTTTAAAATTCTTATATACCTCTCCCCTCTCAAATAATGACTGATTTTCTCTTGTGACATAATAGTAAAATAAAGTTTAACATGAATTAAAACAAAAATTTTTAAGTGCTCCTTAAACATCAAATAGCCAAATGAGAAACAAGTAATATCCATTTAATTGCTAACATCATTACTCTCCATGCATTATTGCCCAACTCAGTGTTTCTTTTTTTTTTAAAGATTTTATTTTTTTCCTTTTTCTCCCCAAAGCCCCCCAGTACATAGTTGTATATTCTTCGTTGTGGGTCCTTCTAGTTGTGGCATGTGGGACGCTGCCTCAGCATGGTTTGATGAGCAATGCTATGTCCAAGCCCAGGATTCGAACCAACAAATCACTGGGCCGCCTGCAGCGGAGCGCGCGAACTTAACCACTCAGCCACGGGGCCAGCCCCCTCAGTGTTTCTTTACAAGCTTTACATTGACTAACACAACTCAATAAGGTCCTCATAGGTTTAATATTCCCATTTTAGAGATAAGAAAATTAAGGCACAGAGAATTGACTAACGCTATACAGCCAGTAAATGACAGAGCCAGGATTCAAACCCAGGCAACAGTTCCTTTTTAGGTATGTTATGTTTGAAATGTATAAAACATCCAAGTGGATGTGTTGAATAGGCAAGTAGGGATGTGAGTCTGGGCATAAAAGAGAAGCCCAAGTTGCAGATATAGATTCAGGAGCCATCAGCATAGAATTGGATTTTAAAGCCATGGAACTAGATGAGATCCCCTAGGGAGAGAGTGCAGGTAGAGAAGAGGGGCAGGCCCAGGACTGAGCCAGGAAGCACTCTAAGGTTCAGAGCTTGGGCAGAGGAGGAGGAACATCAGCGTTAAGATGAAAACTCCCCAGAAGCCATGAGAGGGAAGGACACTTTAAGGAGGACAGTGTAATCAACTGGGTCAAAAGTTCATCAGCATCAGCATCATCATGTTATTACTCTAGCACACTGGTGAAGACCATGTGGAGTTATTGAAGGGGACCCAATGTAAGAAATGATAATCTAGTGAGAAGTAGTGTAATCAGGATTGCCATACATTCTCGGTTTGTCTGGGACAGTCCCAATTTACACCCATTGTCCCACATCTCATCCAATTTAGCATTTGTCCCACATTTTTCATTTTTGAACCAAATATTACAATTAATAGTTGTGGTAAATAATTTGGTTTGGGTTTAGCAGATCTCTATTTTGAACTTCCAGTTTCTACAGAGTTCTCACATGATTAAATCTGAAAGACAACCAGTGATAATCCATCTCTTTTCCTAACTAACCCTTTCCTGATATAACGCTGACCTCCCCACCAGGAAAAGCAGGCAGGGAGCTCACTGATAAGAGGAAATGTGCCCAGGGGCTGGCCCCATGGCCGAGTGGTTAAGTTCACGCGCTCCGCTGCAGGCGGCCCAGTGTTTCGTTGGTTCGAATCCTGGGCGTGGACATGGCACTGCTCATCAAACCACGCTGAGGCAGCGTCCCACATGCCACAACTAGAAGGACCCACAACGAAGAATATACAACTATGTACCAGGGGGCTTTGGGGAGAAAAGGGAAAAAAATAAAATCTTAAAAAAAAAAAAAAAAGAGGAAATGTGCCCAGGTAACAGCAGCTAGGGACTGCTAACCACCTGGGGTCTCAGTAGTGGTGGAAGATGTATGTGACCCTGTCCAGCCGCCTGTCACCTGGTACACTGGCCAGTTGTTCCTTGGCAAGTTCCAGATGTGAGTTTCAGAAGCTGTCGGCTCGCCAATTAGCAAGGTCAATGAGAGATGTGCAAAATTACAGGCTAGGTATGCATGAAATATGTGTAGGAAGGAGAGGCTAAGCAGTCCCGCCATATAGTCTATACAGAGAGCAGTCTGAACATTCTCGCAACAGTGGTTCTGTGATTTATACATGGTGTAAATCTACAACTACTTATTTTACTGATTGATAATGCTTTTCTATTTTGCCATAATCCTCTTAGCAGTAATGAGCACAAGTATATGAAAGTATGTGATTATGAAGATTTAGGTACTGAATTTGATGATGTAC